TGTGGCCTAATATGCTAATGAGTTCCTGCTGTTGGGTATGGCCTATTATGCTAATGAGTTCCTGCTGGGCTTTTTCTACAAAAAAAGCCCTGGACAGACTTATCTAGGTCAGGGGAAGTGGCCTGGAGCTGGTAGCCAAAGCCACAAGTTGGGGAACGGGGCTCCCGGCTTTGATACTGCACTTTTAATGACCCCTCCCTGGGACGGCGTCCTTGGCTGGAAGTGGAGCCCAGTCCTCAGCAGCACTGGGATCAAGAAATCACAAGTCTGCAGTATCCTGCAAGGATTACATAGCAGGCCACATAAGCTGCACTACAGGAAGAAGTCTGAGACAAGACCCAATGGAAACCTCTTGCCCTGACGTGGATGGCCCAGGCTCGCCTGATCTCATCGGATCTCGGAGGCTAAGCAGGCTCAACACGGGGTTAGTACTTGGGTGGGAGACCACCAAGGAAGAGTGGGGTTGCTATGCAGAGGCAGGCAATGGCAAGCCACCGCTGTTTGTCTCCTGACTTGAAAACCCTATCGGGTCACCGTTAAGTCGGCTGTGACTGGATGGCCCTTTCCATCGCATGGAAGCCTCTTACTTTGTCTCATCCCTTCAAATGAGAGGAGGCCACAGCTCCATCAAATTGACACCACCCTGGATGGGAGTCTGGATTAAGAGACACAGATCCCGCCCAGACCGACACATGAATAACTGGTCACACGTCCTCCCTAGCAAGGCTCAAGGCACACTATTCAACCCCCACCCCACCCCCAACAGTACCGTCAGACCCTGAGAACATAAAAGCGTCCAGCCTCACCTGCTTCATCTTGGCCAGCTCCCGGCGCGTGTGCTCGTCGTTACGCAGATCCTTCTTGTTCCCCACCAGAATGATAGGCACGTTGGGACAGAAGTGCTTCACCTCCGGAGTCCACTTCTCAGGGATATTTTCTGCATGGGCACAAGCGCTTAGTCCCGTGACCGTAAATCTAAAATCCGGTGGCCCTTTTGCCACTGGACTTCAGCATCACCGTTAGGGGGCACGCTACATCCCTCAGCAGAAATTTGGGAGATATCCACAGGCTAGTTGGATGACCTCTAGATACTTGCTGGAGGGGATTCACGGAGCCCAGCCTCAGTACCAAGGTGGCAGTCTCAGAACACCGGCCAAGGGAAGGAGCCAGTGACAAAACAGGGGGTGCAGTCAGCAGTACAGATCTCCACTAGGAAAGTCAGCTTGGAAACAGCTCAAAGATCATTGCTGAGATATCAAACTACAGAAGACAGAGCCAGGCAAATTAATTATAGCTGGGCTTGTCACTCCAGCAGGCCCTGGAAGCACAGCCCCCTCCATACACACAGGGAAGAGGTTAAGGACTCACCTAAACTGTCGGGGCTGTCAATGGAAAAGCACATGAGGATGACATCTGTGTCAGGGTAAGAGAGGGGTCTCAGGCGGTCGTAATCCTCTTGGCCCGCGGTATCCCACAGGGCAAGTTCTACCTGTACAAGCAGAAGCACAGCAATTTAATTTGAACGTCTTCTCAGAGTGTCACCACCGCCTTGTTGGTTCAAGCCCTTCAAGGTCTACTGGGTGCCGGTGGTTGGCCCCACTAGATCCTGAAAATGTTTTGATGAAGGCGATTAGAGAAGCTGGAGTTGGCAGAGCTCGGATGCAGCCATGGAGGAGCACTTCAAGCTGTACTCCACGCCGGACACCAAAAGAAAGCAGTCCAAAAGGAACCTTTCGTTTTTTCCACTGCTGGTTCCTTCCTCGCCCCCATACAGATGACGATTTTTTATCTCTGGAGACATATGCTGTTTTGATTGTACTGTTTTATATCCTGTAATCAGTCTTGAGTCTCAGGGAGAAAGGTGGATTATAAATTAATTAAGAAAAAAAGATGGGAAGGAAAAAATACTTAACGTGATATGCCTAGAATCAGTAAAGTTTTGGGACAAGTAGAAACTTAAAATTGCACCTGATCTGTTCCCACACAAGTGTCAGTTATTTCTGACAGGCAAACTGGGAATTTCTGTCATCCGTTAAAGCATGGATTTCCTAAAGTTTATAAAAAAGCAAGCAAACATTGCATATGCCACTGGAAGAGAGAAAATGTCACCAGATGATACTAATGCTGAAATTCTTAACACAGAAAGAGCTGTTAGGCAAAATATATCAAGCAATAGGACAACAAGAAACTGTTTCTAGCATATACAAGCTGTGGTAGGAAATAGTATTGTTTAAAAGCAATAATGAAACTATGGGAAGTCAGAGTTATAGGTTACTTTTTTGTTGTAACGACAACTAGGGATAGTTACACATTACAGCACTTTGGTCACAAAATTAATAAACCTATTAGAAACTGTACAAAGATGTTAGGATTAAGGTTTGTGGTAGCAGTAACTACAGAACACTGTAATATAAAACATAAAATCCCGAATGTTGGAAAAATTAGCTTGGCTAATAAATTTTGGGCCTGGGTTCCTAGATCTGAAGAAAAACTGGCGCGAACAGTATAGGCAATCAAGATGATCCAGGAAAATAGCCTGTTTCAATGTTGTGTCAACTAAAAGCCTGAAAAGATAGATTTGAAGATGGATTTCTAATTAGTACTCATGGCTTCCCAACCGTAAGCCTGACAGAGCTACAATGCTGGCCTTCTGTGAGTCTGAGGTGCTAATTTCCATCAAGAACTCAGTCCGATTAATTTTCTAACCAGTTATCCTGTTAAATACTTGCAAACAGCTCCATCAGCCTGGGAAGGAAAATGAAGCAAATTGAATATGTGAGCTAGTACAAAAAGCAACTGGTAAAGAAATGAATTAGTCTGTCATCACTGAGTGGTGTAAACCTTATTTACGTATAAACAAGCAATAACAAGAATTTCATACATGTTTCCATACAACAACTATTGTAAGAGGCTGCAGACTCCTGCTACACACAGGATCTGCCCCCCATGACTACAAGCGCTCAGTCAGCTGGCTTCAAAGTTCGGCATTACCTGCTTTCCATCCACCTCGATGTCAGCCACATAGTTCTCGAAGACGGTGGGGACATACACCTCTGGGAACTGGTCCTTGCTGAAGACGATAAGGAGGCAGGTCTTCCCACACGCTCCGTCTCCCACAATGACAAGCTTCTTGCGTATGGCAGCCATCTCTACTGAAAGGAAAAGAGCTTTCTTCACCAAGACTGACACCGCACGGCGACTGGTTCCGCGGGAGGGTCACTTTGATACCGCGACTGGTTCCGCGGGAGGGTCACTTTGACACGCGGATGGACAGCGACAGTTCAGGGCGCATCCCCACAGCACAAGAGTCCACAAGCCCCATTGCCAGAGACTCCTATCCCCACATCTCACTCCCTGACTCTGGGTTGGCAGCTGGGAGGCTCAGGTGGTACTCCTCCCGGAAGCCACGTTTGGACCCCCTGGGGCCTCCGGGTCGCTGATCCCTGCAGGATTCGTCATGTCCATGAAGACTTTGTGAATTTCAAAATGTAAGAGAGAGTGGGGAGGACTATGGAGCAGACTGAGGTCCGTAGCAGTACCAAAGATTTCGGTTCCTCATAAAACTGAATGTAGGTTGGGATGGGGACAGGAGCGGCTAAGGCCTAGCTGAACTAATCCATGAATTCCTACTGCTACACTAAAACACCTTCTCCATGACAACACATTTGAGCACAGAATTAAAGAGTAGAGTTAGGCCACTCTGAAAAGCAAGGATGTCAAAACTAAGCAATTCCTACCCTCAAAGGACCAGCGTGGCAACAATAACTGTACGCTGTTAACATGGGCAAAGGCCAAAAAAGTCCCCAACACAAATGGTTACCGGCCAAACTGCTGAACTCTGCATTCCGTGTTTTTAGTCTTATCCTAATTGTATTACTCGTTTGTTGCCTGCCTTTCAACCATGATTTCCAAGACACTTTACTATTTAAGAATTCAAAACAGCCCTGGGCTTTCCCCTGGTGAAAAGACACTAATGCACTACAGTGAAACCACTAATTGTTCAGATATCCAAGTTACTTGTGCTCCTTGACAGTATGTGTTTACCAAAAAAAGCACACATGCGTCTGTGAGTATTCTGCAAAAGTCTTCTTTTGCATCCTGTATTGTAGCTTTGCTAGTCACGGGGGAGAGACAATAATGTACACGGGGCACTTGCATCTCACTGCTGAAAATCTTAAAGAGGGGGAAAAAATCAGATCCTCAAGAAGCGGAAATCTGTCCTCAGTAGCATGCTTCACTGTCCTGCAGAACACCACAGCACTCTTTTGTGCACACATGAGAACATAAGAGAAGCCAATGTTGGATCAGGCCAATGGCCCATCCAGTCCAACACTCTGTCACATAGTGGCCAAAAATACCAGGTGCCATCAGGAAGTCCATCAGTGGGGCCAGGGCACTAGAAGCCCTCCCACTGTTGCCCCCCCCCCCCAGCACCCAGAATACAGAGCAGTACTTGCCCCAGACGGAGAGCCCCAATCTATATCTTGTGGCTAATAGCCACTGATGGACTTCTGCTCCGTATGCTTATCTAATTCCCTCTTGAAGCTGTCCACGCTTGTAGCCACCACCACCTCCTGTGGCAGTGAATTCCATGTGTTAATCACTCTGGGTTTACTTAGTCACACCGGGGGATGCTTCTCCTTTCACGCTCCCCCTCCCCCCTTGCCTCACTTTTTTCATTCCCACAGAGAACCTCTACATATAGCTGCCTCTTATTAAATAGGAAAATCCTTCACAACATTTTCCCTTGAAGGAACTGAGTGTTTGCTGGCCTCCCATATCTGCACAGATTTCCTTATTTTTTATTTTTGTATTGCTTCTCTGCAGCCTGCAGTGAAATGATTTTTTTTAATTTTATTTTTTCATAAACATTTAACAATAACAACAGCTGAAACCAGAACCATTACTTTACAGTAAAAAAGCTCTAAACATCGCAACAAAACCGTGTACTATAATCCAGCCACAAACAAATAATAGTTATCATTAAAGATTTCAGAAACATCATAAATTATCATTCTGCCATCACACCTCAGTCAAAATACTGCAAGTTGTCTGTATAACAAATTCACAGGGATTACTTTTTGATTAGCCATGTGTTGTAAAACCGGATACCAAATACCCACAAATTTAGACTATTTTGGAGAGGATGGATAGGTAAACCTAATCTGTAAAGCACGTTAGTTATTACTGAGCTTGACTCAAGAATTACCAGTGTGGTGACTGCTTCTTTGTGGCTGGACCCCACACCACGCAGGCAGCATTTGGGTTGCAATAATCGGGAACAGGGAAGCAATGTGGGTAGCAATCATGCCAGCACCATTAGTCCCAAAGTGCACAGCATGTCCTTGTACTACCAAGCTTATAGTGCACATCACCCATTGTGGCTGGCCCACACACTGTATTGTGTCATCGTTTACTTTTTTATACCACAAGGAGCAGGGCCCAGCCCCACCTAGCTTAAGGATCAGGAAGCAATCACATCAAGGCAGAAGACAGGAGGCATGAGTTATACTGGCATCTGTAACCACTGTGCTGATTCGTATACTCTACATTCAATCCCTGTCCCTGACTTGAACCTCAAACGCTATCTCTTTATGGTGGGCAGCCAGATCAGTAGGCGAGGACACTCATCCTTCCTCCTGTGACAGACAGAACTGAACAGCCAAAACTTTCCATTACACCTGCAACTTAAGCAGCCACCCTATGTTTATGATCACTCTGCACAGGAGAAACAGCACTGATGTGGTGCTTTCCAGCGCCATCTTTTCATCCAAAGGTTTCCAGCATAGCAGGGATATATTTTGAATTCCAGACACATGGATTAATATTTGTTGGTCAAGTCATCCCTCTTCTAAGCAGAGAACAAAAATGAACTTTATTCGTTTCGGGAGTTTAGACACTGTCTCCAGAGGCCTGCTTGTTGGTGGGTCTGACTTAAAAGGTGTGCATGATCCAAGCTTTAGACCTATTCAGTAAAGCCATGTCAATTTTCAAGAACAGCAAAGGTACTGCTTAGGCTTGAGGTGTGTAGGAAATCCTGTACTGTTCTTGATAAATAGCCCGTTTAGTTTGGTAACCCACGGAGGCTGAAAGGCCAACCCTCAAACCTTTTTGGTGTAGTGGTTAAGTGCGCGGACTCTAATCCGGGAGCACCGGGTTTGATTCCCCACTCCTCCACTTGCACCGGCTGGATGACCTTGGGCAAGCCATAGTTCTGATAAGAGCTGTCCTTGAAAAAGAGCAGTTTCTATCAGAGCTCTCTCAGCCCCACCTAGCTCACAGGGTGTCTGTTGTGGGGAGGGGAAGGGAAAGGAGTTTGTAAGCTGCTCTGAGACTCCTTTGGGTAGTGAAGGGCGGGGTATAAATCCAATCTCTTCTTCTTCTTTTACACTCTTTTTTTTTTAAGGTACTGGTGGCTCCATACAATCCTATCCCAACATCAGGCCGCACAAGGATCCACCAGCTATAAGCCATAATGTTCAGCCCACTGTACTGGCGAGTGCCACGCTGAGACCACTTATGAAATGGGACCAAATGAACTACAGCTGGCACCTCCTCCAGTCTGACTCACCAGATGCAGAACAGAAGTGTTTTTCTCCAGGGGGGGGGGGGATCACTGCCCAGTTCTGAAACTTGGTATACTGGGGATTCCCAGCCAAGCCTAACTGAGCTGGAAATCTGTATGACGATTTTAAGGCCAGAAGGTTTTTAATGCCAAGGTTTGGAGCTCGGATGGGAGGAGCAGAACTGCCTGGTGACTAACTGCCTTGGATGTGCATTGAAAAGATATTTAAAGCTAGGCAAAGTTACACCCATATCTGGAGCTTGAAACAACTGTGTCTCACACTTCAAAAGCAAAGAAATTTCAATCTCCTCGGCCAAGATTTATATTGTCTGCTTTCTTAGCAGGGTTTTAAGGCCAGGAATTAAGTTTCCAAATTAAACTCGAGACCAATCCTCTGGAGAGATTCCCCCCCCCCTCCGTTGCTACAGAATCCTCTAGTACAGCTCCACAGTGTCGAGTCAAGACACTTTCCATCTTCTACAGCTAGAAGGACTCGCTATGAGGAAGGGCCACCAATTATAACATTAGGAACAGGTTCTATAATTCCAGAAATCCACCCAGCTTCAGGGGTAAGCTCCCCTAAACTCATGCTTGTAATCTGCCACAGTTATCAAATGGAAAACCTAACGACCCCCCTCAAAAAAAAACCCCGCCAGACACTTAAAATTCATGAAACAAGTTATTTTAATCTAACAACGTCCTCAAGTGAGTCAGCAAACTAGGAAACAATCTTCCTGTTATTAAGTGGGGGAAGAGACAGATGAACAGCAAGAAGAATCTAAATGAAATTTTTATCTCCCTGTTATTAAAACTAGTCAAAATTCTGGCACAGGGAACCCCCTCTCGTGCTAACCCAGAACGTGTCCCCTGCCCTTGGGCTCCAGCACAAACAGTACTCTCCCCACCACTCAAGAAAAAAGAAAAATTAATGAGAACACACTCCTTGTCACGCTGTCTCTACTTATTGTGCTGTATGGATACAGATCATCTTTCCTTTCAGTTAAACGGAAGGGAGGAGGCCATCACTCCCCAGAGACCCAAGAAAGTAAACTATCAGATTCTTTGTCTGTCGATAGACCGGATTTCCTGGTTACTTTTTCTCCACTGCTCTCTCTCTCTCTTAGGAAAGCCAAAGCGACAGCTATGCAAAAGAGGCCATGAAGAAATCCAGAACACTGCTGTTGCTTCCCTGACTAAAGTCAAACTCGTTCATGAAAGGGTCATCTTCTAAAAGAAAAATGTGATTAAAAAAAAAAAGTTTAAGAATTGCCTTGCAAATACTTCTTGCACTAAGGGGGAAAAATAATTGAATATTGATGTCCTCCATACTGGAAACAGAGTAAGGTAGTTTAAAGCAACCCTGCCCCACAGGTTCCATAACACACTATCAGGAAAGACGTGAATGCTATGACAGCCCTATAATGTAGCTGACTTCCTCTATCAATAGCTCCATACTGAGGACTGGAAAAGGGCAGTTACATTTCAGATAACAGCAGGGCTTTTTTGTGATGGTGCTCACTGGTACTGAGAGCTGGCAATTTGGGCGGCGGGGGGGGCGCTCTTCTAAATCTTGATCCTTGTGTGCTGGGCTGCCCCACTCAGCCTGAGAAAGAGAACAGACCCTCAGAAACAGCCAAGTGGGGATCAGCAGAGGAAGGAGTGACGGACTGGTGGAAATTGGTGCAACCTTATATATGAGCACAGGCTGGTGGATCGTAGTTTACAGCAACGCCTTAATTAAGACTGCAGGAACAAACCATCAGAATCAGTTCTCCACAGTATATCACACACATGATAGAACTGAACTGGATACAGAAGGGCTTCATGTGAATTAATTTAGTTAGCTGTATCTGTGTATCTAAGTTGCCTGACCATGTCACAGAATGATGCTGAAATCAGACAGGAGAGCAAAAGTCAGCCCACAGCAAGGTATTGCAAGGTACTACATGCTGTGGCAAAAGCTGACCTACTTTAAATTGCCATCCCACCACCTGCTTCCTAAACCAGCATCCAACTTAACACAGATGAGTTCTGCTTTTAGAACTCTAACAGTATAAATCAAACCCGCAAATCAGATGAGCGGGCACCTTTCTCTCCATCACCCTCACCAGAGACTCAAGCTGCTATGCATAACCACCACTGTTCTAACAAGACTGAAGCTCTTCTACAAGGATTGAGGTCTTCAGGACTAAAGAGCTTCTCGCTAGCTTTTTTTAATTAACAAAAGGAATAAATGCACCCAGTATAACTCATTCTTGTACTGTATTGAACTGAATTACACGTACACAAGAATTTGTGATCTTGGATTTTCTTCAGGTTTACTCCCGTTCCAATAAGAAATACGTGGCTGCTACTTCCAAAGAAATATGTCTTAAGAATACTGTGTTTTTTTGTAGTTGCAATGGATAATCAATATCAATGGGATAGTAAACCTTTGGCACTGAGCCCCCCCCCCCCATGTTAAAGGACAACTCCAAATTCACCTTGCACCAATGAGGTACAGGTCTTTACAGAGACTGGGGCAGGACTTCAGTAACTTTTAATAACAGCAGAGCTCTCTTGCGAACACCCTCCTCTAATAGCCGCATGCACAAAGAACTTAGAAACAGCCCATGCCCTCAGACCTGGATTTAAACCCTCACTCAGCCAAGTCACTACAGCTCAGTCTGATGTACGTCACAGAGTTGTTGTAAGGCTATAATGGGTGTGTGTGTGTGTGTTTGTGTGTGTGTGAGGGGGGCTGAATCATGTCCTGAGTTCCTAGGAAACAGGATAGGATAAAAGTCATGTTCATCAGTCTGTCACTTATAACTACCAGATTTTTTTCCCAAGGAGATGAATAGATTTACCTGTCATTTGTTAAACCCTGCCCTGCTTCCAAGGAGCTCCAGGTGGCATACATGGTACTCTCAAGAATTTTACCCTTTCAACAGCCCTATGAATTAAGTGATACTGACAGAAAGCTATTGACTAAGAAAGGATTTAAACTGAAGTACCTCCAGCGTCAGTCACTACACCAGACTGATACCTGTGTGTGGCACACATTACTTCCCGCCCCACCCTAATCTTATATCTGGATCTTAGCAATTTACTCAAACACAGTGTATTGAAATCCTTCCAATCTTTCAAAAAGAAAACAGGCCCCTTCCCAACTCCTTTTTGCCTACGGCTACGGGAGAAGGCCCTCACCTGGATGGCCCAGGCTAGCCTGGTCTCGTCAGATCTCAGAAGCAAAGCAGGGTCAGCCCCGGTTAGTACATGGATGGGAGACCACCAAGGAAGGGTTGCTATGCATAGGCAGGCAATCGCAAACCACCTTTGTTCAGCTCTTGCCTTGAAACCCCTGTGGGGCTGCCATAAGTTGGCTGCCAACTTGCCAGCCCTTTCCACCACCATCATGGGGTTTTCCAGGCAGCAGATGACCAGAGGGGGCTTACCCCTATCATTCTTGGTGGTCTCCCATCCAACTACTGACCCCGCTTAACTTTTAAGTTGCTGACCAGATCGGGCTTCTAAAGAGCCACCCTTGCTGCTAAGAACGTGCTCCAGTCGTAACAGAGAGCCACCTGCTCTCAATGCAAACGAATTCGGGATTTTGCATCTCTATTCTGTATGATCCAAGAGGTGATGTCAACTTACTCATTACCTTGTGTCTCTCCTCCCCCTCCCCCTCCCCCCGCCCGCCCCGGGCCATAAAACAACTTCAGCCGTAGGCCACTTCCCCTTACGCATCTGAAGGGCACTTCCTCTTCTTATGTGGCATCTGCCTGTTTTTCCTAGGGCTGCGCTCAAACTACGTCGCGCATGTGCGATGCTGCACTGACACCACCACCCCTTTCCTAAACCCTAATTCGGAAGAGTCCATCCAATCAACGCCGTCTCAACTCCCCCTCCCCTCTTTTTACCTTCAACCGCGAGGGTGCGCGCGACCCACCCTGGCGCCAACTGCCCTTTTCGCGCATGCGCTCAGCAACTCGCGTCACTTTCGGCTCCCCCCCTCCCCCCAAAACCCGGCCAACTTTTCACTAACGGCCTTTTAAAGAAAAGGAAAAAAACAGTAACCGTCGCCTCAGCAACAAGAAGTTCATCCCGGTCTGTCTCACTCTCACGCCTAAGAGGCCTGCTTCCTGCCCAAGGAAACACCCCGGCACCACAAGCGCCTTCAGCTTACCGAGTCCAATTGGCAGCCTCCACTGCCGGCTCGCCCGCCGCTGTTGCTGCCGCCCGGACTCTCCACAGCTGCCCCCTTGGAAACCCCGCCCACCTCATGATTGACAGAAGCCACCGCCCTATTGTATAATTTTATGGAAACACCTCAGCACGCCGCCGTCGTATAACAGGGGGACGTTCGCAAATGTTAGACCGCCTCCCGTCAGAGTGACGGCAAGCTGCAGCCTATGGGAAAGCGCTGTTCCTCCCCGGATTTGCGATTGGGCGCGTCTTCGGGCGCTGCCTGGTTCCGGGAAACTGGACCAATCCCAATCCGCTCGTCGAATAGACAGACAGAGCTGACCAATTAGATTCGCGTTCTGTGTGCTTTTGTCCAATTCCAGTTGGAAGGCGGGATTCTTCCGTCATACGGGTTGCCTGTGATGGGCAGTCTTCAGTACCCAATGGAGATTACTTTGTGAACGGGGGACCGCCCCTAAACTTAACCCTTCCTGTTACACCAAAACAAAGGATCTTCCAGAGCTTTTGCGGCCGCTAGATTTCAACAGCAAACTCGACTTGTGAATCTTTGATACCTCTTGCCAACCTCCAGGTTGATTTGGAGTAATGATTTGGAGTTGGGAGTAAGCAGTGAAGTGGCTAAATTTGCGGATTATACGAAGTTGTTCAGGGTGGTGAAAACCAGTGAGGATTGTGAGGCACTCCAAAGGGATCTGTCAAGGATGGGCAAGTGGGCGTCAACATGGCAAATGGGGTTCAATGTGGCCAAGTGCAAGGTGATGCACATTGGAGCCAAAAATCCTAAATATAAATACACATTGATGGGGTCTGAACTGGCAGAGACTGAGCAAGAGAGAGATCTTGGAGTTGTAGTGGATAACTCACTGAAAAGGTCGAGACAGTGTGTGACTGCAATAAAGAAGGCCAGTGCTATGCTGGGGATTATTAGGAAGGGTATTGAAAACAGATTAGCCAATATCATAATGCCCCTATATAAATCAATGGTGCGACCTCATTTGGAATACTGTGTGCAGTTCTGGTCACCACACCTTAAAAAGGATATTATAGCTTTGGAAAAAGTGCAGAAAAGGGCAACTCGAATGATAAAAAGGTTGGAACACTTTCCCTATGAGGGCTCTTTAGCTTGGAGAAAAGAGACTGAGGGGTGACATGATTGAGGTTTACAAGATTATGCATGAGAAAGAACAGGTAGAGAAAGAGGTACTTTTCTCCCTTTCTCACAATACAAGAACTCGTGGGCACTCCATGAAATTGCTGAGCGGTCCGGTTAGAACGGATAAAAGGAAGTACTTCTTCACCCAAAGAGTGATTCACACATGGAATTCACTGCCATAGGAGGTGGCGGCGGCTATAAGCATGGACGGCTTCAAAAGGGAATTAGATAGGCATATGGAGCAGAGGTCCATCAGTGGCTATTAGCCACAAGGTATAGATAGGGACTCTGGGGCAAGTGATGCTCTGTCTTCTTGGTGCTTGGGGGGGCCAACAGTGGGAGGGCTTCAAATTTCCTGGCCCCACTGATGGCACCTGGTATTTTTGGCCACTGTGTGACAGAGTGTTGGACTAGATGGGCCTTTGGCCTGATCCAACATTGGCATCTCTTATGTTCTTAACTGGAGATCTCCCAAAATTGCAATTCATTTCCAGACTAGACAGATTAGTCCCCCTGGAGACAATAGGTGCTTTGGTGTGTGTGTGTGGGTGTTACTCTACAGCAAGAGGCAGCCTGAAATTCTGGTAAATGTTGAAAGCCACCATTAGTCACAACAATCAATGGAAACAGAAGGGCAGCACTCCCTTTATCACTACGATGAACCACCCAGAAACGGTGGCAGTGCAGTGCAACAGTTAAGAGTGTTGGACTAGTATCAGAAGACCTGGGTTCAAATCCTTACTCGTGCCATAAAAACTCATTAAGTGACCCTGGGCCAGTGGGGATAAAATTTACTGCTGGCTTGTACTAGAGACTCTAGACAGGGTGTAAACAGGCATATCTAGTTTGCCATCAAGGTGTGCATGGAACACTAAAGTGTCTCCCACTGCCTTAGTACCGATTTCACACACTGCATGGACTAAGGTCATCCATGAACTGTGGCTCGCTGGCAGAGCAGCTGCATGCAGAAGGTCCCAGGTTCAAGCCCCAGCATCTCAAGTTAAATGGATCAGGTAGGACGTGATGGGAAAAACCTCAGCCTGTGACCATGGAGAGCTGCTGCTGCTGGCCTGAGTAGACAATATTGATTTTGATGGACTAAGGGGCTGATTCAGTGAAAGGCAACTCAATGTGTGTTCAATGTTGGACTAGAGAAACTTCTTTGAACCAGTAAAGTTTAATCCTGGGTATAAACCAAGGGTGGCCAAACTGCGGTTTGGGAGCCACATGTGGCTCTTTCACACATATTGTGCAGCTCACAGCAGGCAGCTGGGGAAGCAAAGGGGAGGTATGCCTCCCTGATCTGTCTTCCCTTCCCCAGCCAGTGTTCCCCCTCTCTGGGTAGGCTTGAGGTGGTGGGGGGGAACACAGAAAGAACTCTAAATGCGTTCTCAAAGCCCTCCCCCCCCCCAGCTTGGAGAAGGCATTTGTCTCTTTAAATCCCTTTGCCAAGCCAGCTGGCGTGGGAACGTGGTGGGGGCTTGGAGCTTGGAGAACGCATTTAGAGTTGCTTTCTTTCCACCTCCCCCCCCCATCTATTTGCTTTCTTTCCACCTTTTTTCCCCTTTCTCCCTTTGTTTTTCTCTCTCCCTGCCCTCCTGCCTTCCCCCTCCCTCCCTATCGGTTTGCTTTCTTTGTTTCTCTGTCTTTCTCATAGACAAATAAATATCATTAGCAAACAAATATAATTGGACCAATAAATCATTATCTATAGGTTTTTATTTTTGGAAGTCTCATTTAATGTTAATAAAAAAGCAAATTTGCATATTTTCCAATAAGAATATGTAATATTTGTTCATGTCTTGCAGCTCTCAAGCATCTGACATGTATTCTATGTGGCTCTTACATTAAGCAAGTTTGGCCACCCCTGGTATAAGCTTTCATGGGCATGCACACTTCATCAGATATCTGAAGTGTGCACACATATGAAAGATTATAAAAGGTAAAGGTAAAGGTTCCCTTGCTCGAAATCCAGTCGAATCCGACTCTAGGGTTGCGGTGCTCATCTCCGTTTCAAAGCCGAAGAGCCAGCGCTGTCCGAAGATGTTTCCATGGTCTTGTGGCCGGCATGACTAAACACCAAGGCACACGGAACGCTGTTACCTTCCCACCGAAGTGGTCCCTATTTATCTACTTGCAATTTCTTGCTTTCGAACTGCTAGGTTGGCAGGAGCTGGAACTAGAGATGGGAGTTCACTCCATCATGCGGCACACCCGGGTCTCAAACTGCTGAACTACCAACCTTCCACAGCCTGCAGTTCAGCGTTTTAACCACTTGAACCACCGCAGCTCCCTATGGAAGATTGTACCCACAATTAAACTCCGTTGACCTTAAAGGTGCCACTGGACTCAAACTTTGTTCTATCGCTTCAGACCAATACTGCTACCCAACTGAAGCTATCAGTAAAATTATGGTCAATGGATACTAATACAGACTGTAATATGTATGTACCATCAAGTCACAACCAACTGATGGCAACCCCAGTGTGAGGAGGGGAGGGGGTAAGAAACGTAGTGATAGTTAATGGTGATGGAAAACAGGCCAGATGCCTCTGTGGCTATGAAGAAGGGGAGAAAATACTCTGCTGGCTACAGAGCACCTTTTCCAGTTGGGAGGGATAACACAATACTCCTTCGCAGGGCTTTTTTTTGTAGAAAAAGCCCAGCAGGAACTCATTAGCATAATAGCCCACACCCCTGACAGTGCAGCTCATTAGCATAATAGGCCACACCCCATGCCTTCCGTCGGCTTTCCCGGGGGCCCCACCGCTGCGGGGGGCCCGGGGTTTGAAGGGAAGGCAGTTTAAACTGCCTTCCTTTGGCTTGCCTGGGTGCCCCCGGGCGCCGGGGAGCCCGGGCAAGCTGGCCCTTGGAGGAGAGGGGAGGCAATTTAAACTGCCTTCCCTTGGCTTGCCTGGGCACCCCTCGGCTGCGGGGAGCCCGGGCAAACTAGCCCTCGGACAGGCTGGGGAAGGCACGGGGAGGCATTTAAATGCCTCCCCGATCCTTCCAAAGCCCCGTCCCTGGCCCACCCGCCTTGGAGTCGCTGGGGGGGGGGGTTCACTCTCCAGGCCTTCCCTCTGTAGCCAGGCACACAGACGTTTTGGCTGTAGTGGGCGTGGCCAGCTCTGAAGCTAGCCGGAACTCCGTTCCTGTGGGTTCCTGCCCCAAAATAGCCCTGCTCCTTTGAGGTGTTAACACCTTGTGATTGGAGAAGTCCAGGTTTGGCAGGCTGGAGCCCCAAGAGCTGGCACCCAGAAGGGCTGACACACCAGAACAGGTGGGGGTGGGGTCTGGAAAGGGGAGCTGTGCCTTTGTCTGTGGCTCTTTTTTTTTTTACTGTGAAGGATGACAGGGGAGAATGATGCTGAAAAGTTGCAGATGCACCAGGAGTGGGGGCATCAGACCAAGATCAGATCTAACATAGATCACAAGTACATAGCACTGTCTTATTTATCTTACTGCCCCTAGGTCCTTTTGCAACACCCTGAGTTTGGTACCTTCTAGGAATAAAGTTTAAGGAGATTTGTCATTCTCTTTTCCTCCATTTTCGAAAGAGTTCTCCCCTGAACACCCTCTTCCAATAGCCACATGCCCAAAGAACTTTCAGTCAGCCAAGTCACTACTACTCAGCCTAAGTTTGAGAGTCTGCACTTATGCAGTGGAAGCTCGCTGGGTGATCTTGGGCTAATCACTCTCTCAGTCTCACAGGGTTGTTGTGAGGATAAAACGGAGGGAGAGAGACTGATGTAAAATCTCTCTGGGTCCCCAAGGAGGAAAATGAATAAATTCCTAAAGGTCAAGGTTTCCCTTGCTTGAGAACCAGTCAAATCCAACTCTAGGGGGTGGTGCTCATCTGTTTCCAAGTCGAAGAGCCAGCGCTGTCCAAAGGTTTTTCCGTGGTTATGT